TAGCACAAACAAATTACTGCATATACAGAATTATGAAATAAAAGCAGCAGCATCACTTACCTATGGTATGGCCTAATGTAGCCTTGCATGTATAGCATGTATCACAGTCTGTTAAATTAACACTGGATATTAGATTTTTTTTTCTCTAAATTGAGCAAGCAAACTTTTTAACTTGATCATAGTAATGCTCATACCATGCTACCTGCAATTTAGCCAGTTTAGTTGTACTTAGTGGTTTAGTACTAAAATATTCCTTTTAATATTTAGGGTTTCATATGTTTTATGTCAACTCTGGTGTGCATCTCATTTTTGCCACTTGAGCAGCAAAACCACCCATTAAATCTGTCAGGAGAACGTCCTCCAGGAATGTGGGGCCTGGGGTTGTTCCACCAGTAAAAGGAGCTGGCAATCCAAATACCTCCATTGCTACTGTGCACAATGCACTAGTGCTTCCAATTCGATTAGTCACAGCTGGCCCGACACCTACCGCAGTTGTTTTAAAATAGTTCCTCGTGCTTTCTGAAGTCAGGGTGTCTGTAAAGCCTTCAGGAGCCCTCCGTAAAGACTTAGCTCCCTTCTGCTGATCCTTTCACTGTACTTCACTCAGTTCTGCAGCCTGACAAGACAGTAGCTACCATCGGGCTGGAGAAGCAGACAGACCTCTTTGTCTAATGAGGCTCCCATTTACGGCCCAACTAGAAGGGTGCCAATCCTTCGGGGAGGGTCTGGCCATCTGCCTGACGTGAGGCTTCCACTACGTTACATGATATATTTATGGTACACTCCATAAAGGGAATTCTGCCTGTAGCTCATTACAACAGCCAAAGCCACTGAAATTTGCTTGGATCCTGTAGTGCTGAGAATTATTCATATTACATAGGGTGAGAAATATGCTGCTCTGTCTCTTGTTCAAAGAAGTTTCACCTTAACTGTTCCAGAATTATATATACCTGGAATTTCCAAACAGTAAGGAGGATTCGAAAAACATTTTAAACAATCTTAAGTCTAGATTCAGAAGGACTTCCTGTAAAAAGACAGTCTGTCTTTTGATTTTTCTTTAAATATCACAACTTATACTAGTAAAGATCTATCACAATAGAAGACAAGCCAAAATATTAAGGGCAAATACTGAATGTCTTCCCCTCAAGCTACAAACTTTTCTGCTAGTCCAGATACCTAAGAGCTCAGAATAGCATGATGTCCAGTAATCCCCCTCTACACGGACAAGCTCAAGATTTGCCCTCAAATTACATCTATTGAAATCCATACAAATGCCTATGGATCAAGAATAACAAACAAGTACCCTATAAATACCCATAATGATGTTTCACCAGGAGAGCCTGGTCCACATGCAAAAGCTGCATCTCCCTAGTGTGTTGTCATGAAACATGGTTAAATCTATATATAAATGTCAGCCTTTTTATTCTGTTGAAGTTATTTGACAGTTGAGAAGAGCTTATAAAAAGTATTTCAACTACAGATTGCCTATGGTGGCAACAAGAAGGTTTTTCTATATTTCTCCTTGACATAATATTTCATATTTGACTGCCAAATTTATTTCTGACCCTGAATTTTATGAAGCATTTTGACCTATTCCTCATTCAGAATTCTCCTACCTGTAGCAAATATGTAGGACTCGACAGAGAGTTACTATACAGCATTCTGTTGGGAAAATAAAGAAGTTCTGGAATTCAATTTGATTCTGCTAAAAATCTGAGCCCTGGGAAGGGAAATATGAAAACACCTCCTCCAAATCAGAAAAAAAAATGTGATTAATTATCCGGATTAATCCAAGAGACATTTTCTAAACTGAAATCAATGATTTTCATGCATTTTAAAATCTGCCTCATATTTTAAGGCTATACAGTCAGAGTAAGTAATCTGAAATGAAAAATACTGTGCTCTAACCCCAATGGACACAGAAGATGAACTTGGGAAGTCAGTTTTTACTTGATATTCCATGAATTAAATCATAATAGTGTGCTCTTGACTCTCACAATTAAGAGATGCTGTGAGGTCTATGGAACACCAATAAATGCATAAAGAAGTCATCACTCAGAAATCCCACTTAACAAGTGAAAGCAATATCTATAGAACCATATAGCCATATTGTGAAAATCCAGGCACTATTTCATGGTAACTGCTGTGAAAATACCACTTCATATTAGCCATTTTAGATCTTAATGTCATAAATAAGGAATGTTATTGAAAATGTTTATTACTAACCTGGCTGTAAACTTGGTTGTCTAACAATAGACGTGAAATAGGAATACCAAGAAAGCTCATGGTAACAGAAAAATAGAAACAACCAAAGCACAAAAGAAGCATTCTTTAAAACGGCATTCTGATTAACAGCACGTAGATGAGTGAACTTTCAAGTGTTACCAACCATTACTTAGAACTTAAGTTGGCAGAAACACTGCTGAGCCTCTCAGGACTCGTCCACACTGGCAGCGTCTTACCCACGATGTCCTGGTAAGTCCTGAAAGCTGCTGCTCATCCACATCTGTGCAGTACAGCTCAGGCAATGGAAATACAAATACATGTCCTGTGGCCAGCCTACTGGGTTACCACATCAGCTACTCAAGTGCTTGGAACATACCCTGCTGAATATTTACGAGAATGTTCTTTACTGTAGATCTACTAGGCATTGACTATTAGCAAGTTGTTGCTAGACACTGAAAGCTGCACTTAGTCATTGAGGAGGTCTCTGCACTCATATAAACATCCTCAACAGCAACAAGTGATAATCAATAAACTGACCCTGACAGTCAGCACTGAATTGTGTCTTAAGAGATGGTGACATGAGTGGCCTCCCATTCAGGCTCCACTGAGGCCCCTGCATCAGCGGCACCACCAAAAGAAGCACCAAAAGTCCTTCCACTAGATCTTCACTTGTAGGAACAACTGGACATAAGATGAAAGAGCTTATCAATTTAGAGATGCAAACAGGAAAAAAAGCTTCCAATTTATCATGGTAAGTTTCAGGAATGGTAATGTGAAATTGCATTAAATTAGTTATGTGATGTCAGATTAATCCTTAGATGATCACAGGGACAGGTTAAAATAGTATATGTATTTTTGCTGATTAAGGTAATAAGAAAGCCCCAGACCTGACTTATTGCAGAAATGGAAATCATTACAATAAGCAATATACACATCTATAATTATAAAAAGACATCATATAAAAACAGTAGAAGAGATACTTAAGGACTGTCACCTGTACCTAATTTTTATGCAAAAAAGTAATAACCAAGGCAAGATGAGATCTGAGAAAAATGATGAATCAAAACTCCAAAATAATAAAAAAAAAAGGATCACAACACAGAATGTTTATACAGTAACTTCAGATGTGATAAAAGTAAGTTCTTCCATTTCACTGAATTAATCTAATTTCAGTCATGCCTTGAATCATCATGATCAATGGCAGGAACTAAATATAATTAATTTGTTCCCATAAAAATCTTCTGCAAAATTATATATTGCAGTAGAACTAATATTTCCAAAACCATGATCTTCAAATTACATAATACTATTATATATTACTACATTAGCAATCTCCAGAGGGTTTAGGAAAATAAGGACTACATATGTCACTGCCTGTGACATGTAAATGGGGTGAATTGGTTTAACTCCACGGAAGTCAATGCAGTTACACCTGTGTTGGATACAGAAAGGTTCACCTTCCTTGTAAATACACATTTGTACTTCAACCATAGTTCTCAGAGATCACCATAGAGATGTGCAATGAAGTTATGATCATCATTTCTGTGAAAACAAATTCTAAAGGAAGTAAAAAGAATAAGATACTTCTTCCCCAAAACAACCAGGCTGATTTTCTGTATACAGTTACTCCATAAAAGATATAGACTCAACTAGATCAGAAGTCATTTCTGAAATGATTAGATGGTCTTAAAAAAAAAAAAAAAAAAAAGAGTTAAAACCATTGATGGAACAGATCTGAACATCTGCAGCAAAGTAAACTTCATTGCTATCATGACCAGTTCTACTGTCATCCTCTGTCAATTTGTCATCCTCTGAAACAAGAATATTAATTCTCTTCCTCGTTCCCTCCAAAATCTGTACTGTACATTCCATGCATCCAGTCATTATTTACAGCACTAAAATGCTGGCACTCGAGTAATTCACCCATTTAGCAGAGACATATGCAAGTCTACCAAGGTTGAACTTAATTTGCCTCTCAAATAAGACTTGAATTCTAAAAGGATATTGGAATATATCAATTAATTGGGAATTTCTCTAAGGAAATCACTGCTAAAAAAAATATTTTCTGAAACTTCGTTTAACTTTGTGCAAGCTTATTGAAGAGGATTAGACTTTGGAGGCTTAACAATTACTGGTTTAAAAGAAAAAATAACAAATTTCTAAAACATAGTAAAAATATTTTGAAAATACCAATTGAGTTGCAGTCAATAAAATAAATAAACCAACTGGGCCTGAATTTAGCCTTCCATCACCATGTTGGGGGTATAGTTTGTTTATTTCTTTCATTGCACATAAACAGATGCATAATCAGTCACTGAGTTGATTTCAAGAAAGTTGGGCTGATAATTTTTTTATATACTACCCGTTGTTAATATCTGATCGACTTCTTAAAATGATTTTTTTTTTTTTTTACATATATGAATAAAAGTAGGAGACAAAAACAACTGGAGTCTGCAGTGTGTGCTAGCAATCATTGCGGGTGGGTAAACTGACAACATGTAACTGCATATTAAGACAAATGTAGAATTTAGACAAAGTATTCCATCTCTTTTCAGATGTATACTTTTAAACCTCAGGAACTGTTTTCAGTAGATGTCATGCCTTTTAACTTGAAAAAAGATAAGCGCAAATAAGCTCCCAATTGTCTCCCCAATATGTAAACCACATCTCAGGCTGCTGTCTCTGTTTTGCCTTTGAAGTTTCCCTGAAATGTCATGTGTTGTGAAGACTGCTGTGCATAAGCAAGACAATTTGCTCACTCTCAGAATTCTTACCGGTTTCCACTGCTATTTGGTATCCAGCCTCTAGTCTCCGAGATGACCTTTCCAGCCTCTCTGTGTTATCGAGCAGATGTGCCCTCTGAAAAAGAAAAAGGGAAGAGAGAGAGTAAAAAAATAAAGTAAAATAAAATCAGGCAGCAGCCTACAATGTTTCTTTTTAATTGTGCTTTCATATTCCAAAACACAAAAATATCTATGTATATTTTATGGAATAGCCTGTAACAAGGAGCACTGGAAGGGGCAGGTTCTGTGATCAATCATAATTATGTGTACCAATCATTTGTGTTTTGAACGTGGAATATGTGCTTCACTCTTATTACATGAGCTCACCAAACCCAATATTGCTTTTATACGGGAAAACCATCCGGAGAGGATTTCCAAGGCAGATTTCCCTGCGACACATGTATGCAAGCAGCCATTATTTCTGTTCAACTCCACTTTCATGAAACAATTGCTATAAATGCAAGTGATAATTTTTAACACGAACCTCATTTCAGCAGAGCATATTTCCTTTATGTATACTCCTCAAGTAATACGATAGCACCAACAGTCTATTCGTACAGAATACTGAACAGCATGAATAATCTTTAAAATACTTTATGTAAAACCATGTAATAACAAAAACACTGGCTTCTTGATTTACATCTCTTACATCCATTTACACACATGCTGAGGTATAAGACATTTTTTCCCAGAAGCCATCTACCCATTTATGAGATAAATTACTCCATTTAAAAAAAAAAAAAAAAAAAAAAAAAAAAAAAAAAGTCTTGCAATACATTTTTGGGAACAAAAAAGTGAAATTTTCATTCATTTACTCTTTAGTTAAAAAGCAACCATTTCAAACCAAGCTGATTTCCTTTGGAGATCTGATCCTAGGCTAGCTCTAATCAAGCCATCAAAATATAAAACACCCCCTCTCCCCTGCACCCCTAGAAGCTAATCACACACACCTGGCCCTGGCCGAGCACCCACAGAATGTTTGGGATATTTGTCAAAAAATATTTCCTACAAGTTTGTCTTGTTGACAGATGTCATTTAAAGACTGAAAAAAATGCTTTCTCATAATAATAAAAAAAGGAGGTGCCATACGTATTATCTGAGTGGCTGTCTCCCGAAACGATCTACCTTGCTCTAATGAGCCCCTATGGATCTTGGGAGATGCAAGCTGTATTGACATGCACACTTAAGCTAATACACCTAGACCAGTGCCTCCAAGCTCTAGCAGCCAGGGATGCTGACAGAATATCTCGCTTCTATCTTCAAAGAAAGGAAGTGATTAGTATGTTATCATTACCATTCAAAACGTGATTTCCCTATTCCCTCCCGGCATAGGTGACACATCTCTGAGATGCGGCCAGACGATCGAGGCAGCTAAAGCCACATCAAAGCTTGCCTTGAATTTTTTTTTTCTTTTTCCCCCCCTTTCTCTCTCTCTTTTTTTTTTTTTTTTTTCTTTTTTGGAGATCATTAAAACAATGCATTTAGATCAGCACAGATAGGACCCAATGTGAAGGTCAGGAAAGCTGCAATAACAGTCTATAATAATTAATAGAGTTGTCTAATACACAGTGGATAGGTTAAGTGTAAATTGCAAAAAAAGCCTTTTGCATTCATGGGGGGCAGGCCACCAAGAGGAGACAAAAAAAAAGAGCACAAGCACTTAATAAAATTTAAAACCTTAAGTTAGAGTTCTGTAATTTAAATCATGATAGCTAACAGGGGTGCATAATTTTAGGACTTATGGCCAATCTAGATAATTATTGTTAATTTTTTTTTCTTTTTTCTTTGTAAAGGCATCTTTTCATAACATCTGCTGATTTCCCTCTATTGCCCATTAGGGAAAAAAAAAAAAAGAAAAGAAAGAAAAAAGAAAAAAAGAAAAAAAAAAAAAAACTGTAAGTCTGCAGTGCAAGTATTCTTCCAAATACAGTCTCCTTGCCTCGTAGTATTAAAAAATATATATTTTTTTTAAATCAGAAGTATGACACTATTCCATACATAAATCTCATAAAATAAAGTAGTAGAAAGGATATTGCGGGGGGGAGGGAGGAGAAGATCAAAGCAGGATTTAAAAGATAAAAATCCTAAAAGTTAGAGAGGAGGTACTTTAAACAAAGCAGAGCCTGGGAGTGAGCACACAGAATAGGACATTATAATCACAGAACAGATGCACGGCGCTGGACTGGTGCACTAAAAATGAAAAAGCTACCCTGCTATGTTAATGGGAGGGAGGAAGGGGGGAGAGATTTCACAGTCTAATACTATTATAATGTAGAAGAGCTACAGAACAAAAAAGAATAAGCATTTCATTGTATATTTTTATATACAATATAAGCCACATTTAATCTAAAAAGTAAATCATAAGTCCACAGTTCAGCCTTTACCACGAGCCATCTGAATACTAAAGATCTGTGAATCTGGTGCTAACAGGAACTCAAAGCTGTTTCTTCCCTGATTTCAGAACCTTTCCACCCAAGCCATTCTCTAACGAAACCTGCTGTCTGCGGTAAGCAGTGCTGTTATTTACCGTGTTTGGTTTTGGGGGCACACTGGCCTTTGGTCACCAAATCAAGGCGCTACAGGGGCCGCTGACACTTTCCACCGCTTCCTACCCCTCCCCAAGCCCCTTCTCCCGCAGCATCTCTGGCTCCCAGAGAGCGGGGGGATTCGGAGCACCTTGGAGCTTCAGGTGCAGCTGCTATGAGGAGTTGGAGGGAAGTTTGGCAACGTGGCGTGCTCTCACGAGAGGCTCAGTCATTCCGTGGGGGCCGGATTCCAGCTGAGATCTCAGGAACTCAAAGGACGGAGCGACGCGGCCTCCGTAGACCTGCGTGCGCTGCATGTGCGCTAGGATAGCGGCTCGCAGGGAAAGGAAGGGCAGGTTTCATCAACAAACAGTGTGGCAAACCACTACTTCTTTTAAGATAGCTCATACCTCCTTAGGAGAGCTATAATTTGGGACGCCTTGATGTTGCACTACGTGACGAGTTGAGAATTATGCCTGACTCACTGTACGAGCCTTCATTTAAACTTTAATGGGCATTTTGCACTCAGTATAAAAACACCAACACGATTACTGCCTATAAAACATGGAGAGGGCACCTAAGCACAGACAAGGTTAACAATTGTTTTCTAAATTATTTCTCTCTCTCCCTTTACGTTTTTAAACTAGAAAAAACGATGACTCTTTAGTTCTATTTGCTATTGGCTCTCTCAGTATGCAGAATGAGAAAAGCAATTTATGAAGCTAAAAAGAAAAATGGAACCAATAAAATTAGTATAAATATGAACATTTTAGGTAGATGATAGCAAGGATTTATAAGCTTCAAAAAATTTGACTGATAAGTTCAGTGTAGCTCTCAAATCACAGTCCTTTGCAGTAACGTCCTAAATTTTCCTATTTATCTGCACAGCTATTTCAAAAAGAAAAGTAGTTAAGTGTCACCTTGGTTCATTATCTTCAATTTGATTTTTCAGAATAATTGAGAAATTAGGAATGCTTATGTTTATAAAATCCCAATCACTGCTTGCAAGCAAAAATGATCCCAGTACCCTCTTCTGCACAAGCACAGGAGCAGAGATGCAGATATTATTAAAGGGATGAGCAAAAGAACTTTGTTCTTCTGAGAGTCACCTCAGCAATCAGGCTGCACAACCTTTTGCAATAATGTTGTCTTCTGCTTAAATACTGAGACTATGAAAATATTAGGGAGGGGACCTCAGCAATGGTGGGAGGGCTTTCATGAGGTTACAAGATTTTTTTTTTTTTGATTTTTAACTGTTTTATTCTGCAGCTCCAAAATATCAATAATCAAGTCCACTCCACACTAAAGAGAAGAAGAAAAAAATATAACATTCAGGAGACTGGTGAAATACTCTACATCAAAAACATCTTAGCATTTTTAAGAAATTCCCCTAATTGCCCTTTATCTGATTCTTTCTAATTCTTTGTCATCACCATACCTAAAGCTTACAAATCCACTTCTCCAGAGCTCTGTACTCATTACTGATATGTCTGGGCATACATATTTCAATAAAAAGATGCCAGACAAATACACCATGTTCAAATATTCATACTTCTATATATATTTGTTTAAATACTTAGTAGTTGAAACTCTTCATTCAGAATCCTTCAGAAATTTGACCTACAACTAATGTTGACTTTTCTAAGACCTTATATGCAGTGGCACAGAGAAATAATAAAAGGAAAACAGTTCAAATACCTGCTTTGCTATAGTAGTAAGTAATGAGGGATATATTAACTTCAGAAAATACACTGAAATATTTGAGAAATTGCCCATTAAAACAGACTTCCTCTAAATTCCTCTAAATATTTATGAATCATTTCCTAACTGAAAGAAAGGTGTTCTGGAATACTGATCTCTAGTGTTACACCTACAGATCTATAGCATGCACAAATAAATAATAAGTATTGATATGTATGCATAGGTCTACGTGCGTTTTCAGTGGGTGTACAATATTCAAAATAATACACCAGCTATTTGAATAGCTCACACCCTACTGAAAACATCGTGAAATGCTGTGTAATTTTTATAGTGTTTCAGCACAGGCTTTTTTTTTTTTTTTTTTTTTTACCAAAGCAATGCTTTCACTTTCCATACCAGTGTACAAATATATTTACCCTATCAAAGATTTTGTGATGCAAACACAATTTTTACTGTACCTGATTTGATCATGGTATTCTAGTAGAGATCAAATAATAGTTTTTTTTTCCTCTTCTTTTTCTAGTGTCTTTAAAAAAATTCCACTATCAAAGAATGTTAATTTCCAAGGTTTGATCTAGAGATTCCCATGTAAGTATACAATTATTAGGAAAAAAGAGGCACAACAGTGAATATTTTAAAGCAATGTAATCAATATTTTTGCTTTGTGCAGATTTCCCTGCAACAATGAACAAAAAGATCTACTTCAGATTTAGAAACTCAGCTTTAAAGGGAAAGCTAGACAACAAAAAGCAAGAAAGTACTCACCTCCTCACGTAATTTTATCAACTGCAACATGAACGCACAAAAAAGATAAAAAGGAAAGAAATGGCAGGAAAGAAAGATCAGTTGTGTGACAGGATACAGAATTAACATTGACAATTTATCTGTTTACATGTTTAGCATTTAAAAATCACAGACAAACACATTAAAAGAACCTAAACATAGACTACATGCAGAGTTTTTTGAACGAATAAAGATCACTTTCTCACACTGTCACATTAAACAAAGAGAATAGTGTGAAATTCTCTTTTAAACTACATCTAAGACACCATCATGAAATAAAGGGGAATGACTTCATAGAAGTCTATATTATAAAGAAAAAAACAAGTTTACTATTCCTCTCTTCGAAGATTGTACAGCTGAAGTGGTTTTGTATATACAAGTTTTCAGAATGTTTTCTGTATATTTTAGTTGTGACAACTGATTCCTCATTTTACTAGCAGATCTAACTTATTAATAGATGACTGCATCTTTATAGCATGTCACCAGTATACCAATTTTTATATACCTTAGTTGCAATTGTAAGTATATTATCTATTTTTATGATTGAACTTGAAGTAGCAACCTTTTTTTTTCAGTTAAAAAAAGCAGCTTAGCTAAATGGCTCGGAATTTGGATTTATTGCACAGCATATTTAAGAAAAGACAAAGGAATAGGGACCAACATGAAACACGACTGCCCTCAGAAAAGGCTCAATCCAGGTTCTTAATCCTAGACCACTGTATTTGTGTGTGTGTGTGTATATGATTTTATTTAAACATATGCTTGTAAATCTAACACAATTAATAACAGTGCTCTGGCAGCTTCGCTATAAAATGCAGTAAAACCCAGTGTGAGTCCAGAGCTATGCTGTAGCATGCCCTCCATTTAGAGAAACGGATCAATTATTTGGACTGGAACAGAAACTGCAATTAAAAAAAGGTCTGCATATGAGTGCATCTTTACAAAAAAAAAAAAAATACAGGTCTCTCACCAATTCCAGCTGAATTCAAAATAATAATGGCTCCTTCATTATCTCAGTTAACGCTGATAGCTCAGCCACAGTTTTCTAACCCTCATTCCCACCATGTGCCTGAGTTGAGACTGTTCCCTGCCCAGGTCCCTCCAGCAAGAAGGAAACAAAAGAACTTCCAATATTCCCCCTTGTTTCAGGCGGCCAGGCAAAAACTGCCCATGTGCTTCCTCTCGTTCCCAAAACACACAGTGGGAAGTGAACTGTGTGAAACTGGGAGGCTGCGACCGCAGGAACTGAAGCTGAAACAGCTCTTCAGCACCCAGGATAAATGCTAGAATTGCTAGAAACTGTCCACCAAACCAGCTCACAAATTCAAGCACTTGGCCTATCATAAACTGGGCTCTTTCTCCAGATCGCCCTTCACCATTTCTTCCCCCCAAAAAAGGCAAATATTAGGTCTCTTTCTAAAGAGATGACCTGGGAGTTGATCACATAGCTATCTTTTCTCTCTGAGGCCACCATTCTTCACTTGGCGATCATGCTTAAAGGGCCAAAGTTTAAAACTACTCTGCTGCAGGAGAGCCCATTTGGGCCTGCCACCCTGCTCCCATCAATGGGAGTTTTAAAATGCTGCACATTTGTTTTTTCAATAGGTCCCAAACAAAAATGTTCTATCTTGTTTGTGCTGCATGGCTGAATTTAAGCTCTGCATAGGATTTGCAGCTAAGCTAAGCAATGGGAAAAGGTCTTTTTTAAAAAAAAAAAAAAAAAAAGTTGTCTGAAAGATATTCATTCAAATTAACAAAAGATGCATTTTTCCCCCATTTAACAATACTCTTGATGGAAAGGCGTTACCTTTACTTTTCTATTTTTAAGAATTTTCCAGTATTTTTATCACTCTCAACACTTGACTGTAAACAGAATTAAGCTGTGCACCGCCACCATTTTAGGATATGATAATCAGCATATTTTTTGAAACAAAGATTTTTTTTTCCCAATCCGAAATTCAAAACAAGAGGTAATCTGTTCCTTTGTAGGCTAAAAAAAAAAAGGAAAGAAAAAGAAAAAATCTGGTTTACGCTGGTTTGAACCGGTGGAATCTCTGGTGGCTAAGCCTTCTGCTGTGACTAAAATCAAAACTGTGCCGCGGCGAGCGCGCGCGCGTGTCTGAGGCGGGTCACGTGACACACAAAACTACCGATTTTTTTTTTTTTTAAAAAAAAGCTGATAACGCTACTGCCGTCTCTGTCCGCATATAGATAACGAATAAATGCTGAACTCTATTAAACGCCCTTTACACATTATCGTGGGTCGAACACACAATTTTCTGAACTTATGATGACAGTCTATTTATTTTGCTATAAACCCTCGGCATGTAACGAACAGATTTGTGTCTGGTAATGATCTGCTCTGCCAGGACTATATGAAATGATACCGACCTTCTTTAGATCTTGGGGAATTAAATTGACCAACTTCACCCCCTGGTCTGGAGCTGAAGTTTGACACACTTTATGCACAGCAAGCCCAAATCTAATATTATCAGAACTTTGTAGTCAGAAATTAAGAAGCCACAAAATATTTGGTCACGAGAAAATCACATATACAGTGTGTGTGTGCGTGTGTGACATGCAATTTAAGCTTCTGGTGTGAATTTAGTTAAGCAGATTAATGAACATAGTTGAGGAAGAGACAGGAACAGTATTGAGTACTTCAGAAAAGTGGTTAATACTGTACATCCCTGGAACTATTTTGGTAGAGCAGGAGGATTTCAGGGTTAACCCTACACACACTGTCTAAAAGATTACAATTAGTTAGATAGGGCAACTCTACCCTAAGATATCACCTAAACATGACAATAACTACTTATAGAAGTATTGAGGGGAGAGGAAAAGAACAGCAAAGATAGTAAGCATAATTTGGTAATGCTTCACTTTGCTAATTATTCTTAAATCTTTCTTCTTGGGAGTACAAGTAGAATCTTGTTGCTATGACTTCTACCATATTCAGTACAACTTTTAACTTATTTGTGTATTTTGCTGTAATTGTACCTTTGAAACTCAATTAAAAAAATACAGTTGGAAGCTGAATGAACAGACCCAAACTGTACTTTTCACATAGTGAACTATTTATTATTAGTTACTTAATATATTGATACTGGCAAGTATATCAAGTTTTTATCTTCTCCTTCCAGAAAAGAAGTTAAAGAAATGCTTACTGTGGTCACAGAGACCATACCTAAAACAGCTAAGTTTGTACAATTCTTATCTTTGTTTCTCTTGGTTAACTCCCAAGTCTAACCAGATATTTAACATTTTTACCAATAGATTTTACAAATCTTTCTGGTTAGCTGCAGAAGCAATTCTTAGCTGGCAAATGATTTCTTCTTCACAAGAATCTCTCTTCCCCTCATTCCCCCTCCAAGTTGGAGCCAGAATCAGAACAGAATTATCTTTGATTTAACTAATTTAACCTCACCCAAACTGAGTGAGAAACAGAACTTCTGTAAGGGTTGGGTATGGGTCAATCCATCAATCCATCCATTTGCCCCATCAAATAAAATCAAAGCAAGCATTGGAAATAGCTTCCAACATTTTATGTGGCTATGAGTAATACTCGATCACATTTTCTGTGTCCAGTCTAAGCTTTCTATTGATATAAAAAAGTGTAGGAATGAAAGTATGGTAGTGGGCTACTAGATTAAACAGGGAGATATAACATGATCCTTGTTTAAGTACCCAAACCTTACATGTAATCTGGAGAGCTGCACCCACTGGTAAGTTCGACTTCAGTTGGCACTTGGCTGCTGTACCCACAAGTATATGTATAGAAGAGAAGTTCAGATATAAATCATGACATTTTGTAAGAAGAAGATTTAGAGGTTGATTACTGGAACAACATACTACACAGCTGGCCTTCACATATTTCGAAGAAATTATAGTGATATTTTGTAACATTCTTCAGGTCAAAAAAAAACCAGTTCAGAATAAAGTATGGGTGTAAAACACCAAATTTTAATTCCCTAAAAGACTCCCTTACCACCCCAACTTTTCCTCCATTTAAGAAGCAATCATTTGAAAAAAAAATTTCATGTTAACAAATGACAGAAAAAGTATCCTGATGATGTGATTCCTTAAGATGAAACCACGTTTCTTCCATCAACTATAGAAAAAAGATCATAACTCACAAAAGGTGCACATGTGAACCAATTATTTAGACACTCTTCATAAAAAAATTCTCATCCTTACACATAATATATTCTAAATAAAGCTTATTACAATTACAGTTTTATGTCAGAAATTGCACACATTTTTCTTGAAACACAAAAACAGCAGCATCTTAAAAGAAGTAAAACAAAATATGAAAGTCTTTTCCCTAAAACTATCCTTGCCATAAATAAATTATTTGGGGATACAAAATTCTTCCTCTACTCAAATTTTGCAAAACTCCTTGCTATAATATACAAGATGATCATTATCTTTTATATCTTCTTCTTTGCATGGACTTTAGAGCTGCTATACACTACAGAGTCCTACATTTACAGATAAATTGTATGCTGCATATAATTTTATTAATATATGCATTAAAGTCCATTACAGGATTTAAAACTTAATTGTACAGCACATTTAAAATGCTGTATAAGATTAGGGCTTAAGGGGTCTTTGTTTTAAAATTAATTGTACTAGGATAAGTCTTGGAGCCTTACTCTTTTTTTCTATCCATAGTGAAATTTACACTGAAGGTAGAAGATACTAAAAATTTCAGTATTCTGTTTCCATGTTTAATATTGCATTTCTCAAGCTTCAGTTAGGCTACCAAAGTAATTTAAATTCTGTCTCTCCAGAAGAGGGAGTCTCATATTTAAGCAAACTTTCAACAAGCTTCTAACCCATAGATTTGATTACTGCTAAGAGAAAGAAAACTATTTTCAAGACAACAAACAAGCAAAAGTAAATAAAAGACCACCAGAAAACTGTTTTCAGAACTTGCCAAACAGATTTTACCACTAAAAAAAATATTAACAGGTCTAAGTCCCCTGAATATAATGTCCTCTCTATAATGTTCAGGAAACTAGTAGGATCCTCAGAACAACATTGTTCAGAACAACAATGTGGATGTAAGTTTTGAAAAGCTTCAGGATTACCAGGCTTTTCTTTATTAAAAGGAGTGGATAGCACTGTACATTCTAGTACCACATGTGTTATGAAAGCTTACTTTTATTAGTACAACTTGTTTTTTTGCTACAAGAGGAGAAAATCTGTTAGAGAAGGAATCACACAAGGAAACTGAGTGGGGGTACTGCCTAATTCTAAGAGTGCACTTCCATTTGTTTTGCCTGCCAGTGTTGATTTAATTATATTGCATTATTATCAAAGCTACATTATGTACTTTTTTATTCCTTGTACATGTGTTTGAGGTGAGGACCTTGGCTTTGTCGGCAAACAGCGCGTTTCAAGTTATTTTTTAAGTACTAAATAATAAAGAAAAGAGAAGAAAAGATTTTTTTTAAGATAGCAGACAGTGATCACAAGTTAAAGGGTTAAATGTAAGATCTCCAAGAAACATTTTGAAGTTGATTAAGACCCCAGCTTTGCATTAAACAGTATCACTTCCACATGAGTTGTTGCTAATGCTGTTAAGGAGCAGCTTGAGAAGCCCAGTGTGCCAGTGACCTCCTTCACCCTCCAGCCACCCACTAGGGCTTCTTGATTAGCATCCTACCTGGTTCTCTGAGGAATTCCCGTCATCCCCTAGGAGCTCATTCCGCACCTCATCACTGTAGGCGATCCGTGACCTTTTCTGTAAAACAAAAAGAAGAAAGGGTGAGGAAGTAAAGCTCCGAAGCCATTGGTATCAAGGAAGATCATCTTAAACCTCGGGAGCCCCCTAATGGATACCTACTTGATAAAAAAAAAAATCTGCAAGCAAAAGTTTTTAATAAGTTCTTCAACTGACTTACATTGATAAATTATCATGGCAAAACCTCATCATGTTTGGTGTGATTTCTAAGAGAGTCACATCCTCAACATTTCACCAATGAAAGTAGCCTAAATAAAACTCAAGATAACATGATCTCAAGACAGACAAGTAGGCAATCTTAAGAGGCTACATACACTAACATCAGAAGCACTGCAGAAATGCATGTGAGGGTCAAAGATGCATTCATCTGAAGAATACTTGCCAGCTGGGCGAAGAACGCAGACCAACACTACAGCAGTGCCAATAAATAGGAAAGGAAGACCGAGCTTCTCCTATACCAACAAGATAACTTTGAACAGTGCACATTTGACAAAACTTAAAATTACATATGTATAAATATAAATAAATAAAATAAATATAAATATGCTGTTAATGCTATAGAGGCCTTCATGGAAAGGAGCAGAAATCCAAGTGGAAAAGGAAGGGGACAGAACAACAGCATAGTACAACATCAGTTTACAGCAGTTTGGGGAAACACCACAGAATTGAGACAGACAATCATCCATCAGATTGTTATGAGACAGTCATTATTCGTAGTTTGTGAGTTCCATATTTTGTGAGAGCTGTTGATTCTAAATTAGATTAAGTGCTGAATAACTGAAAGGAAGTCACTGAAAATTACCCAAGTAGCACAGTGATCAACAGGACAACAGGGAAGTTCATAAACAGACCATAGCTCAGTTTGTAGTTCCTGTGTTGGCCAAATAGAAGAGTTATGTGACTAAAAAACAGCTATGTTCACCATTAAAAGACAGGAAGGCTTGTAGTTCCTGTGTTGGCCAAATAGCTGTTTTTTAGTCAGATAACTCTTCTATGTTCACCATTAAAAGACAGGAAGGACTTTTAATAATTTGGTTTTGTTTTGTTTTCTTGAGGATGATTATGATAAGTTTTACTCTTCATAAGAGGAAGAAACTCAAGGGTAGCACATACCAGGACTAAGGCCTTTCTTTATTGCTTGGAGATGCCCTCATGACTCCGTGGAAACAACTCATAGTGGAAAGTCAGCAAAAACAAATTCTTCCTCAAACCTTTCCTAAATGGACAACCATGCCAAAAAATGTACTTAGGTCTAGGACACAGAAATCAGCTCACTGGAAATTACACAGAGCACAGAGAAATTTATTACTGTTGTGATGAGCAGTTGAAAGTAGGTCACCATTTCCACTAGAAAACTAGCAGTTGAGTTAGCCTGGTACTGCTCATCTCAGAGCAACACAATTCAGCTTTTTATTTTCTGCCATTCAAGTATGCCCTTTATTACCAGCATCAGTGTTACAGTGCTCACCAATACGTGATTCAGGTGCTCGTGCTCAGCACTAGATTATATAGTAAAGCTACAGTTGTACAGAGCAAGGACACAGCATACCAGGGACCTACTACAAGAGCTGAATTGTGCCAAATCTTTTGGAGATCTCGGCTGTCGCAGTTTCATACTAACCAAGCAAAAGTAGTCTACAGCATTAAAGGAAATGAGAACCTTTAAACAGGCTGTGGTATCAGAGCTGCTTGTTTAAATTATTCATTTCATCACTATGGGGGACTAAAACACTCCACAGTATGCAAGAATATCATATGGAGATAGGTTTTGTTTTTCTCTTTTTTCACCAAAAAGCCAACAAATTGGCATAGATTGCTCAATTACATTATTTTCCTATTTTTATTTGATAAACATCAAACAAGGGAAGAAATTACAAATACATGCCAATAAATATCTAATCTTTTTTTTTTTCAATTAAGATCCAATCTCCCCTTTTAAAGTCCAGCAGTTCAACTGTGCAGTCTCTCTCCATTTCACAACACGACTCAGTCTCATTGATTTTGGTAGTGTTAAACATATTTGTCATTATTAGGCTGAAATGGGGAACACAACATTTCATGAGCTTGTTCTCCAGTGAACAACTTGTCTAATTATATGTACAGACTGACATGGTCCTTGGCTACACATCATTTATTTGAAATGATTTAACTGGCTGGTATTTTCATTCATAAGAGATTGCATGCAAAAAAAAAAAAAAAGTAAGAATATTCTCCATGAGAAAGAAAAAAACTCTAGCAGCAATACAATTTTTAAAGGCTTTTTAAAATGCTTCATATCATCATCACTGAATTTAATAAGTATATTTGTATCATTGTTCTTTTATTGCAATGATCTGTCATGATTTGAAAATCAGCAATTATATTAAAAGAAATAACCCTTTGACTACAATTAGATGTAACTCTTTGCCAGAATCAATAAATAATTTGATACTACTTTTGATCACAGTTTCACCACCAAATGAATCAATAATATAAAAGGAAAGGCCTTTGAACTAAAATGTTCATTTGTTCTTTCAGGATTTGTCCAAAATATCAATATATTGGTATTTTCAATTACTATTCTTATTTTTATTAAAGCAACACTGCTAATACTTTCAAATGTAGCTATCGAAATTAGTGATAACAAAACAGTTCATCTGACCTCAAAATTAATTTTTTTAGATTTTTTTAGTTCATAACTATCAGCTGTTTATAAATATGTACTTTAGCCAAGTGCAAGAATGATAGTTTGAGCTGGAAATGTCACACACACTGCTACAGTTTGAAGGAACCCAATTCATAATGCATTTTATAAATAGTTAATGACTTCTATACATAAGCTAACCAGGCAAATCAAGAAATTGTCAACATTTTTAGTCTTAGTTGTCAGTTACCACTGTCTACTGGTACTTTATATGTATGTTTCTAGAAAAGACAGAAGCTTTACAGAGTTTGTAATGCAGTGCATTTTCTGGGCAGCTCAGTATAGGTTTGAGAGCTTCTCTATGCAGTTTTTTGTATGTAAAGGTCTGGTATATATGAAACTATATCTTGTATTTTAGTTTCTTGCAAATATACGTACACAAAAAGTCTTAAGCACACACATATATATGTAAGTATACATGTTTGCATTCAAAAGCAGTGTACACATGAGCACACAAACGCACAAAATGGTTAAGCTACTTTCCCCAACAACTTCAAGACAGAGAAAGTTTCCGGAGCTGCTTTAAATGTACTACAATGCCCAGACCTTCCAAGAGGGAAGAATTTCTGATTCCAGGCAGATCTCACTTGGTTTATGAACAGGATTTTTGCATACTGATTGGGTGATTTTCTTAAAGCCCTGTTCAAACAGATACACTTGCTCAGTTCTGTCTGGCAATTTGGCTTTAAACAATCTGTCTACTTGACCCAAGCCTTAACATTTCCCAATAGATCTGAATGCGTTCATGGGCAAGCACAGCTAAATTAGAATTGAAATGAATTAACTCAGCTTAAACTAATTAAGAACTGTGATCTGCAGTCCCACCCCCCTGTATGATTCTACATGTGAAGCTGGGTACATGTAACCAGACTGTAAGAATTCTGCTATACCACTAATCTGAGCATAACAATGAACTTCGCCTATTACTAAAGCATATGAGAAGTTAATTTCCATGGCCTACACATGGCAAAGCAATTGCTTAAATTGCCTCACCTGGGAATTTAATACAATGTTATCATCAGACCAGCCACACTGTAAATAGATTTATAATGCTTTCCATGTGCTGGGCTAGGTTGCATATGAATTAAGTAATGATCTGGTATTACAATATAATCAGCTAGTTCCCACACCTGGCAGACAGGATATTTTGCTAAATTACTACCTATACAGCTACATCACAACATAAAAACAGAAAAGGCATGGGAAGAGAAACAATCTGCATGGTATATGACTGATTTTTACATGGTAACCAAATAAGATGTAGATAGAAAGAGGCATCCCAAATAATCTGACTCCAACATCTGTATAACAGAACACATATTTATTCACTTCTATTCAATTTTGGCTTAATTTTCCGCATTCTCTACTTTAATTACTCATCCACATTCTGCAGTGCTCCCATTAGTAAAGGCCAGAACTAGCCAATGCCCCCTCTTTTCAGCAATCAGCTAAATAATTGAAATAAAGTATCACATATTTTTATACCTGAACCAAAGAATAGCTTTCCTCCTAAATGCTAAGGAATCCAAACCTAGATAGTTTCAGAGCAATGCTGCAGTTAACCCTTTCAGCCCAATATCACCATTTTCAGCCTCAGTGTTTTAAGGAGAAATTCAACAGATTTTTCCTTTTTTTTAAAAAAAAAGTATAAACAAAGAAAAAGCTTATTCATCCACAAATATTTGTTTTCATACAAAACCTATCTGTATTTCCTAGTGCATATAAATGGCTTAAAAAAAAAGAAAGAAAAAGAAAACAGGCATCCATTTCAGAGTTTGGCCCTGTTCTATATGTAAATAAATATCTGAGATTAGCATAACCAGAAATAATCTGTAAGAGGAAATTCTATTTTCTTTAGTTTTCTTTCCAAAATAGTCAGTTTAACCATTGAGCATTGGAGTGAAAGATGGAAAAGAAAGTGGCTTGTTCTTCAAACAGATTGCTCAATACTGCTGAGTCTAAACTTTTGCTTCTACCTTTCTGAATATATATATATATATTCTTAAACAATTTTTTTGCTGAGCTAAAATGAAAAAAGCTTAACAAACATATATTAAGAACGTGACCCGCCTTAAACATCTATAAAGCTTTTATGTAAACAGTAGCACAAGAACACTTTGTCAAGAAATAAAATAGAAATTGTTTCCAAAATTGTGTTCCAATTTCAATTTTCAAAACTTTTACATTTCACTGTATCCATGATCCGTAAACAACAGATTAAGACACTTCAGACTGCAACTAAGGAGAAAGAAACTGATTACAGAGCACTAATATAAGATGCAATGTAAACTGGACTTTCAAGCATTTATGTGAAAAT